AAGACTTGCCAAGCAGACTTCTGTATGCTCCAAACCTCTGAATTTACTCAGCTGCTTCACTTGGATTTCATGTAACTAATGTTTTACAGCCTTCTAGTACAAGCTGATACAAGGTTATAGGTACCAGCCCATCAGATTACACACAGTCTGCTATAACACATTCTGTAAAATTCAAATTTCATCACTAGTGAGATACAAACTCTTGTCCTGCTGCTTGGGGGTGTAACAACTTACCAACTTCACTAAGTTGCCACACTCTTGATAAAAATATTTTTTACATTTAAGCAAATATTTTCATTATAAATATCAGTAATAAGTAATTTGATCTAATTGTAACACGAAGTTAAAAGTCAAATCTACATACGTAAATTGTTAGTAAGATACTATTGGCTAGAATTTGATTTAAATAACGTGATTGATTATGTAAAATTCTATTGGTCGAGATGTAGTACAAATCTTGTGTTACTGATAATTTTTGGTGGTGTTGTGCCTATATAACAAAAACGCGTATTTTTCTACTAAAAATTATTTTCTTTATATCATATTAGTAAACTATGGCCGCATACTTTTATGAAGCATCTCACGAAGATTGGTCTCTTGATGGTTTGGCTGAGTGGTGTGCCATTAATATTTCATGCGATAAGAAAAAGCTTTTGGATAGCATGAAAAAGGTTATTCAGGACATGAAAAGTGCTTCTATCTCCGAGGCTGCCAGACTAAAGGCTAATTCTTTGCAGGAAAAACTAGAGGAAAGTATTAGCTTTCATATGTGTTGAGCTATTAGCACATTACAGGACTGTTTGTCGTCTGGGTGTTGAACTGTTCGTTCGCTGTAGTTCAATAGTGTAACCTTCTGTACTGTAGCACATTACAGGACTGTTTGTCGTCTGGGTGTTGAACTGTTTGTTCGCTACAGCCCTTTATATATAGAATAATCTCTCGTATTATTAAGAATAGATGTAAACTTTGATTTACTCAAAAATTTTGTAGTCTTGGAAATCGACAAAAAATAAGAGCAATTATTTTAAATCTTTGCAAGATTTGAGGGAAATAAAAGAAAAAGAAGCCATTCAACTGGCACAGATAAAAAGTCATGAAACTGTACAGCTTGCGGAAATAAAGGTACCCTTTTATTAATTATTTACAATTTTTGAAATCTACTAATCCTTGTTTTCTGATGTAGTCAAAAAATTTGCAAGAACATACCGTTACAGTAATGAATTTTCATAAGAACATTGCTAATGATCTCACTACTGTTGATCGTAAACGAAAAGAAAGTGAACCGAATAAAGATGAGGAACTAACTCCAAATGAAGTCTGATATTTGTAATCTATTACTCATTAGTGATTTTGATAGTATATCTGATTAAAATATTTTTCACACAGAACTTTTTTATAAAGAACTTTAAGAGACGTACATGCGATTATAGTTCTGGTAGTGAAAGCGAGGAAAATGACGAAACTGAAAAGGTTGACGATGATTCGGATGACTGGGGAGAAATTATTAATTGTAAAGACTTTTCTTTTGATGTGTGGATTGATACATGTGGTGGGAAGAGATGGTGCTTGAATAACGGTGAAAACATCAGAGATACTCTAATAAAAATTACACGTCAGAAAATTGAAGAGGCAAATCAATTAGCAAAAGTAGATGGAAAAATTATGAGTGTTATAAGGTATATTATAATTATTGTCGCGGCTGATGCTGGAAATTTTAATTATTTTAATATGAAATTTTTAAAAAATTTTAGGGCCTTTTGTTAGGGGTTTTTTTTTAGGGTTAGGTTAGGGTTTAGGGTTAGTTTTAATAATAAAAGAGTATAAGTGGATTTTGGTAGGACGTATTTTTTTAAATCAGCTTATCTGATTTCCAGCTTCAGCCGCGACAATTATTGTCCCGGATTATCGTGAAATTTGGATCTATTTTATATGTGCGATTTTTAAAAATTTTTGGTGCTTCTTTTGTCGGCTTTTTTTTTTTATAGTTAAGTTAGGATTTAGGTTTAGAATTATTAATAAAATAATACCCAACGACCCAAGATATTATTATTGCGAGTATAGGTGGATTTTGGTTGGGCTTATATTTTCAAATTGAGACCTCTAAGTTTTACGATGATCCGGTTTCACGATAATTCGCGACAATTATTAATCATTTTGATATTATATATTAACTGCATCTATATACATAAATAGGCTTGGCCTTTCATCTATTATTGATCTGTCATCAGAGTTTGACGGAGGAATGTACACATGGTTTGGAGATGAGTGGGAAGGCTTGAAAGCGAAGGTTTCAGAGAAAATAAGTTTCAAAGTAAAGAAGTTCGAAGGAAACATTTTAACGGATATCATTAAGATAGAAGAGGTTTGTATATTGTTATTATATCACATAGCATACTCAATTACATTGATTTCTAATATTAGATATGTGCTTCGTATTGCTATTGGGATGCACGTTCCTATCTATTGGATAAATTAAAGGAAAGGCCTGATGATGATAAACACCGTCAAGTGTTAAAAATATATTATTATTTGTACGTTATTATACACCTTTTAATATATATATATATATATAAATATATATACACTTATAATTAATCTCAGAACATTTTATTGTTAGAATCGATATGTTATTAGAAAATCCATATTCTTTTATTAATAAGGAAGGTGAAAAAAAGAATTTGACAGAAATTGAATATATTATGAAACTATCGGGTCCTATATTGGATATAATTTTCTCAAATAATTATGACATATTATATCTTAGATGGTAAATAATATTCATTAGGCGATATTATAGTTTCTGATTGCGTCTAATTGATTTTTGGATGTTATAGGGGTGAGACAATTCCTAGGCCTACTGTGAACCGAAAGATAGATTTAAGGGTATTGTCTATTGACAGTAATGTCGATTTGTCACATTCTGAATTTGCGTGTAAAGCAACACCAATAAAAGTAATCAAAGATCGCAGCAAATGCATAAGAACTAATAAATGCATATTGGATGCTTATCTCATGCATAACCTTCCTGAAGAGGCAATTGAAAACTCTACCTTTTATGGATTACAATCAGCTGGTAAGGACTAAATAATATTTAAAAATGATTGTTGATAATAATGGTTGTAACTAATTATTGACCTAGGACTTGAAGGACAAATTTTTGGATTGATTTACTTGATGATGGCTTGTATTTCAGTTTAGAAGGACCAACGTATAGGTTTCCTGCACAATTAAATGACATTAATGCGTTAAGAAATTCACTTGAAATTTTATATTTTTTTAAGGTAAGAAAGCTCAACTTTGGCTATTTTAATATTTTTAATGATATGAATCGCTTATAAAATTTTAATGATAGGAGATTGCAATTAATAAAGCCAAATATCTGTCCCACGATAATAATAATATTACAAGGATACTTCATTCAGGAAAAACGACTACAAAGCCTGAACATCGGAAGATCAATTTTATTAAGAAAACATACTTTACGCCAAAGGAATCTATACCTAATGAAATCAAAACTATGTACTTTCGAAAATAATTGGTTCATGTATTTTATAATAAAGATCTAACTATAGAAACAAATAATTTTTTTAGCTATAATAAAATCCAAAAAACCCAAATATTAATATAAATATTTTGTTCTTGATTACATTTAATTGGACATTTAATTTAACAAATATAAATAATCGTTCTTATTGATTACAAAAATGTAAACTCGCTAACGTCATAGGACGACTTTCATATGATTATTTTTTTCAAAAAATAAAACTACAAAGAATAAATGAAAAAAAGTACATAGGAGGTATTATTAGTGTTGTAGGACTCCAC